CCCTACTCTAACCTCCACCACCAACACCACCCCCCTCGCTATTCTGTTCTATCTATCTATCTATCTATCTAACTATCTTTTTTATTTATTTTTTTTTCTTTTTTTTTGGTTAGCTTTCTTTTTTCCCCTATATACCTTCTATTCTCCATTCCTATCTCTCTCTCTCTCTCTCTCATTTTCTCGTTTCTCTCCGACGTTTTTTCCTTTATAGAAGACGCGCTCATTAGCCTCACCTTTGCATCGACCGCAACGATTCCAAGGGAAAGCTTTTTTTCCAGAGGAGGATGGGGAAGGAGAAAGAGGAGAAGAGGATCGAGATGCCGACTGGTTTTACTGAAAATCGTGTAATATGATTTCCGTCGCGGTCGAAGGAAAACCGAGTAGTTTTCTCTCGAGTATTTCGGATATCGTAGACCTACGTCTATATATATATATAATATATGTACGTATATGTGTCCGTGTAAGAAATAATGTGTACGAGCACGTTTATCCTCGTCTATGTGAATACACGTAGGAGAGAGTCCAATGGCTGATAATTAAGGTTTTCGGCGATTTCAATGACAATAGAGTATAACAGCGAATGCTTTCCCATATTAAGGTGGCATCCCACAGAGAAGATATCACGATAATGCTATTCGTTTGATGCGCTGTGTACATATTACGTATAAAAGGTTAGGATTACCGTAAAACGTTTTTACTCAATACGCCCGCCCTGGCCGTACCCGTTCCGTTAGCTCTATTCGGGATTTGGCCTCGTTTGCTTTCAATGGCGAATATGTTAATTACACTTTAAACGTGAACAGGAAACGTTGCATAATATTACCCGCTAACTGAACGGGAGTATGTACGCTGAATCTCACTACGTTTCATCATTTTGGGATCTTATTCATAATATTACTGGCGAATGAAGCTAAATGTATATATGCATGTTATGTATGTGTATATTTGTGTATGTATATATGCACGAGAGCAGGCCATTTTCGGTGGTAGACTCCTGGAATCCAGTTTGTGAAAAACGATGAGTATTCCATCGCGGTATGCCGCGACTATAATCATAAAAATTCATCTGCGTTTAAATCGGATAAAAATGAGAGAGATAGATAGATAGATAGAAAAAAGAAAGGACTCGTGGAAGAAAAGCTCGAGATAGGATAGGAAGAGTAGGTATATACCAAGGAGGGTAGGATGTGAGTACGGTAGTGAACGTTATTTGGAAATTTGCGGTAAAGGTAGATAATAAATAAAAGTATGCTATTAAATATCGAAAGGAAAGGCTCCTCCTCCTCCTCCTCCTCCTCCTCGTTCTCCTCCTTCTCCTCCTTCTCTTCCATCTCTTCTTCTCTTCTCTTCTACCGCGAATGCCGTCTTTCGAATACTATAAATCGTTCAATAAAAGCATAGGTACTTACTCGTTTGAGCGCGCGGTCAGGAAAGCTTGCGGAGTCAAAGGGAAAACCGTTCTTCCCAAGTACTCGTCTGCTTTTCTCGTTTAGTTCGGACCTGTTCTCTCTCTCTCTCTTTCTCTCCTCTCTTTGATTCTATTGCATAAACACATAGATATACTTTTTACAAAATCTTTTTACGTTACGTTACATCCATAATGCAGGTATACGTAGACATAACTTAGCATGTACCTGTGCCTATCGAATATATTAACAATATTTCGGAAGCATGTCGATAGAAGCGACAAGATTCAAAAGTATTGTTACGTAGTAATGTATGTACGTATGTATCTATCTTTGTATGGGTGCATATATGCACAACGTCGTCCTGGAAAGGTTGAGTCAAGGGAGAAATGAAAAAAAGAAAATAAAGAAACGACTGCGCGGGACGAAAAAGATAGGCGACGGGCCGGTCGTAAAGAAAAGAAGAGGAGAGAAAGAAGCGTAATGTAGTGAGTCAGCAGTTTTTGTTAAAAATTTATTCGGTTCAGCTTCGCGAGAAATATCACCTCGTGCTCTCTCTCTCTCTCTCTCTCTCTCTTTCTCGACGTTCCTTTCGTATCACACCTTTAACGGCTGCTCCTTTTTCTCTCTCTCTGTGTTTCTTTCTTTCTAACATTCGATCCACCCCGTCTCTACACCATCTTCAGAATCTTTCCACTCTATCTATCTTCTCTACTTTCTTTAGATACTACCCAGTAAAGTCCTACGATAGGTATTTCGAAGCTGCGTAATTCGCAAACTGTTCATTCATTTTTCAAACCTTACAAAGTTATGTTCGCGTATTTCACCTTAAGTCAAAGTAATTTCTAATACATACGGATCAGTCTTTAAGTTGCATCGAATTATCTGCTTACGTACACGTTTCACTAGAGAATATAGATAACGTTGAGTATAGTAAACTTGTGAAATCCTCTTCTCAATGTACATTCAAGAGAGCGTAAATGCTCGTCGTTTAAACGATCGATCTTTGAAATTTCGTCGCTCGAATTGCGTCGTACTTAACTACGTCTATACGTCCGGATGGTGTTCACAAATCTCTCTCTCTCTCTCTCTCTCTCTCTTTCATCCTCATTCTCTTCGAAGGCGAAGATTTCTAACGTGAAGAGCTGCTGTTCGTTGTTCGGCTTATCGGAAGCAACGACGCGCGACCGCGAAGCTTCCGCTTCCGCTTGGCTACTATCAAGACTCCCTAGAGGAACAATTTTAAAGGGAGAAGGTAGTTAGTAAGTTTCCAAGGTGAAAGGATCAATTCGACTCTAAGCTATGTTCTTTCATCGACATTTTCATCGCCTTGGGCATTCTCGATCGATATTTCCTATATCGTACATTTTCTAATTCATCTAATATTATTTTTTTTTTTTCAAGCATGCTATTTTGTCGACATTTTATCGTTCGGAAAAAATGGCTACGTACGAATTAACGACAAAGATATAAGTAACGCGTATGTGTCACGATAAAGTCACATCAATGTCATAAGTTATCGAGACATTTTTTGACTCGTTAAATAAAAGATAATATGACAAATTATTCTTTTCAAATTTTGTTACTTTTTGATTATAGCATGGAATAATTTATATTTTATTATTACGTCATCGGAAAACAATTATTGCATAAATTTTGAAAATCGAACAAGTTGATAGATCGCATTGATGAAACTTTTTAATAATTCTACGATATAATAATTTAAAATGATCAAAACGTTTTCCAATTTTACGGAAGACTATAAATTGATCTACGATCTGGCTACTCTCGATCTTATGTCATGATAGACAAACTCCCATGACCAGTGTGAAGGATACACGGTGATCCTATTTTATCAGCAGATAGAATCTTAGGGTGCGCCGAGAGCCGATGAAACACATATGTATAAGAGAAAGAGAGAGAAATATTTATTCGGCGTGGGTGCAAATAATTTTCTTTGAATGCAACTCGTCGTTTCCGCCCTCTCGCTTTTCTTACGCGACGAAACAAGATTACACAGATGAGACTGCACGTTCCTACATTCAAAGATAGAGGTAGAAAAAGAGAGAAGGAGCGTGGGAGTTACGTCAGGGTGTTTGTATGTACATAAAAGGAGAAAGAGAAAGAGAAAGAGAGAAAGTTCGATTAAAGATACGGTAAGACAAAGAAAGAAATACGTTAAATGTAAAAGATAGATACTCTTTCATTGCTATCTTTTTCGCACCATAATGATAGTCATGTTAGATCCTTTTCAGAGCGAGAGTATCGTCTAAAAGAATAAGATTAAGAAAAAAAAGAAGCAGAAGAAGAAGAAAAAGAAATGAGAGAAGAGGAGAAGAAGCGAAACGATCTCTTCCAGACGCGAACGCGATATAGTCGGTGCGATCCGCGAGCGACACCTAACTTGAACCCGTTGCCGGTTCTCCAGCGAATAAAAGCTAAAGAGAGAGGGAGAAAAAGAGAGAGAGAGAAAGAGAACGAGTATGAGAGAGAAACAGGCTGGGTTACTTGTCGAGCTGAAGGAGTTGGAGAAAGACAGGTAGATGAAGGAATAGTAGTTGGTGGGGGTAGTTTTAACGCATGCGCGCGACTATCATTTATCGAGCCGCGGAGAGGGGTAATTCGCGTCGTCGTCGTCGTCGCCGTCGTCGTCATCGTCGACATCGTCCTCATCGTCCTCGTCGTCGTCGTCCTCGTCGACGGTGGAGGCGGTGGCGGCGGTGGCGACATCGGCGGCCACGGCGACGTGGCACGGTTCACGATCGTGGGTAGAGGGAGAAAGGACGCGCTTGTTTTACGCGGGGGACGGGACCTTGCTGTATCGCTGCCTTTGGTAGAGAGAGAGAGAGAGAGATGTAGGTTGGGTGGCAGGCGACTGTCCGAAGGAATACGGAGAGGGAATGTATATACGGATTTTACTGGAACAGAGAGAGAGAGAGAGAGAGAGAGAGGCATGGATCAAAATGGGAGGATAGGGGAAAGTATAGCGTGATAGAGAGAGGGAATTCGAGGAGTTGAGTTGGTAAACGCGGAGGAGAGAGAGAGAGAAGTGGGATGGTGGAAGGAGGGGTTAGCGAGAGGGGTCGAGTGGGGAGAGCCGAAATGACGAACGGAGGGGCAGATACTGGAGAGGGAGAGAAAATGATAATGAAAGAGAAGGATGGAGATACGGTGGGGGGCGCTACGGTCGGCAGTCGTCGTCGCGCCAG